TTGAACCCAGATCAAAATAGCTGTGTTATAATTACTTTCCCATAACTCTACCAAACATGCCAGTATATGGTGTTGTCCGCAAAATGGCCAGTGGTATATCAACAATGATGATGAACAATGGGTGGTAGCCATAAAGAGTATAGAAGGGAGGAATGACCGAAAACTTGTTTCCAAAACAAATAGTTTATACGTATAGGTTAATTAAATAAGTTTTGTAAACAGTTTACATTTTTTTTTTTTTAAAAAAATAAAATAAAAATAAATAATCATATAGCAACACATTTCTATGAGCATTATAACCTATGTTTGACGTTTTCTCATTTCAAAATTTCACTCGCCTTATATTTTAATTGTTTATTTTTTAAACTCATAAGGGAATTTTAAGGAAATATATTGGGAAAAACCTATGGGATCGCTTTGGATTGCTAAGTTTATAGTTTTGGAACGAAAGTGTATCATGCTTTGGAACGTGAATTCCAAAATGTAATTCGCTAGGCTATCAATGTTTTCTAGTAACACTAGAATAGAACTGATGCAGGACAGTGCTGTGAGGGTTGTTCTGGGGCTGAAAGTGCTGAAATTTAAGAAAGAAACAAAGGAGGAGAAGAAGATAGATTTAGGAATCATTCCTAGAATCTCTTAGGCATCACACCTAGGGTTTGATTGCCCCACCCACTGCCTATGCCTTGTTTTTTTTTTTTGGCATCCCCAATACATTAGTGTTATTAGTGGTCTTTTTTTTAGTGGTATAAATCATTGTTGATTGAATTAATAGCATTACATGACTTTATATAGAATTAAGAGACTTCCTATACCAACTAGAACAAAAAAAGGAAACTATTATAATATCTTTGACTTCTAAAACTAATGTAAGATCAAATATGAAACATAAATAAAATCTAATTAAATAACTTGACCCACAAGATGATCCATGGGTGACCCGTGTAACCCATGTCTAGAAATTATGAAATTACCAAAATACCCTAAATAATAATAATAATAATAATAATAATAATAATAATAATAGAACATGACTCATAAGCCTAAGACATAACTATCCACGGTCCCAAATGAGTTGCTCATCATCCAATGCATGCCAAATCCAACTTGGGCTTAGAGGCATCTCTTCCTCATCTCCTGTAGGCTGCTGTCACTTGCCTCCATCAAGAACCCTAACCCTCAATTGTTACTCCTTTCAATTTGTGTTATCAATAGAATAGGAATAATTATTATCTTACTCTTTCAGTTATATTATTTGTCAACAGTTCCTGTTGCACTGGAAAATTGATTTTTATCATGCCTTAGTTTTAAAAATTATCAATTGTCTAGCTTTTGACTTAACATGCATTGCGAGAAGTTTAACAATTAAAATTAAATAAATAAATAAATAAAATTATGACATTCTAATTTTTTATTGTCTTATCATCAACAACTTGACAGTGCACTTTGACATGCTTCATCATCTCATGTAACTTGAAGTTTGCAGTAATCGTGGGTGGATATCACAAAAAGAATCCTCATGGCTTTAAGTGGTAAACTTCATTTTTTTTATTTGAGCATTAACTACATCATCACATGGCTGCATGAGCTGTAGCTTTGTACTGTCCCTTTGCATTCAACTTACACTTTTGTTTTGCTTTTTTATGGTTCATGTTACTAGGAGGGTTTAATGAGCCATTCGAGAGAGTTTTTTTTTTTTTTGTTTTTTGATTGGCACCGGGGTGTCTAGATCAAGGCCCTACCCGACCAATCCGCAGGGGTGCACAAGCCCTCGGCAAGGAGTTTCCCCAGCCATGCAAGAGAGTTTTGCACTCTCCAACATCTGTTTATGCAGAGTTGATGCTTATGCTGCTTGATGATTTCAACAAATCTTAGGGCTGATCTCTGAAACGTTCTTGGTAGCAACTCCTTTGATGCTTTGTAAACACCAAGGAGAAAGGACAAGAAGAAAGCTAGATGACTATAAGGAGAATGAAGAGAACTTGAATTTTAGTTCTGTATGAGAGAGCAGAATCTGGATCAGTGTGGCTTCAAATTAAGCTCGGTGAGCCAAATAGATTGGTTGGGGAAAGGAATATATGAGAGAGAGCTCTAACCCATCTGACTGGATCACTCCTCTTTCTAATTTGAACCTCTGACCAATATTATTTCTCGTCATAGTTTGACCCTCCCAAATAGCTAAATGTAACCTTACCTGTAGATCTTGGATGTAGAAAACTCATTCGACAAATAATATCCTCTCCTCCCACTAGATTAAACTCTGGTCTTGAACTCATTATTCTGTCCAAAACCAAAAATAATCTATCTTTTTATCTTTTTATCTTTTTTTCATCACATCACCTCTCTACTTTTCTGCACATCTTTTCGTAAAAACACAAAAAATGCACTTATTTAGGCCATCCCAAACAACCATTTGATATTAAATCTTGCCAAAGTTAAACAGATATATAAATGCCCTAATGGTTACAGTTTTTTAAGACGATACTTGGTTACAACAAAAGTAAGTTTGAAATTCAATACAAATAAAGCCCTAAGCTTGTACAAAGTAATTACAACAATAACAAATAGAAGCTCTTGGCTCCAAGTCCTCCCAAGCTACGTCATTGACGGAGGTATATCATCAGTACCAAAAAATGGTTTTCCACATAGGGTGAGCCAAAGCCCAGTAGAGATACTCTAACACAGTGTATGAATCTTAACAAAGTTATAAGGTGAATGCATATGCAATGCTCATGTTAAAATGTTTTACATCTCTTTCCAAAAACCATGCAATGTCTGATTATATCACAATTCATGAAAACCACTTTCTTTGCAATAGAAAACAGGGCAGTGGATACAACTGATCAAAATGACAATTTTTTCAGCTGTTGATTTCACTTATCACAGTAAGGCCCATCTTCTTTCTTCTAATCCTACTCTCTTTTCTTCTCCTCAGTTCATTCTTTCTGAGAAGGGGTCAGGGTTTTCTTGCTGCTAGAAGGGATTTGGTTTCAGAAAGGAGGGCTAGTTATGGAGATGGGAAGACAATGGTATGGATTGTCAAGAATAATATGCTTAAGCACATGTGTACATATATAGGCACAGGTTTATCAAGAATAGTATGGTTAAGCACATGTGAGCTGCACTTAAATAATTGTGTTGTTAAACTACTAACTATGGAGTCCTTTTCTTAATAAGCAACCTTTATGATTTTGCAGGTCATTTAACTTGGAAAATGCTTTGGAATCTCACACAAAGGACAAGCATAGTGCTAGAAAATAAATGGATTTAAAGAGAGAGCTTCTTATGAATCCTGATTGGAAAATCTACGCTTAGTCTATTAGGTACATTTTTGTAACACTAACCTTTGTTGTCTAGTAACTTCTTATATTTGAAGCGTTAATGTCAATTTGGTATGAATATAATACGGTATAAGGTTTTGCCATTGGATTGTCCATTGATCATTGTATTCACTCTGTCTATTAATATGGCAATTCCCTCAGTAGTACTCGTTCACTATTTGCCAGTTTGAGAGAGGTGGAATATCTGGTGTGCTATATGCTCTACTACGTTCACTTGGGCCAGTTGTTACTAGATTGCATTCTATGGATTAAGGTTGCAATCTTTTGATTACGACAATTTGTAGTTCACTAAACAGTTTCCTATTTTTGTGGCAACGTTATGTATTTTTTCTTTGTAATATTTCTAAATCAAAAAAGTCATAACCACAAACATAATGCGCAAATTTATTTTTGAACTGCAAATTAAAAGGCATATTTAAGATTATAGTGTAATTTATCAATATATATATATATATATATATTTAAGATTATAGTGTAAAATTTAATATTAATATATGTTTTGTTGCAAGTTTTGTTGAGGGAGTAGTTGACATAATCAAGCGGGTGACGTTGAAAGCCAAACTGAGAATATGCTCCTCTTTTTTGTTTTGTTAAATAATTATTTATTTATTTTTGAGGACTTACATTTTTTAGTGTTTTGTACAAACACTTTTAAGAATGATTGATGGGTATTTGTTTTGCATGTATGGAAGCTTATATTTTGCTTGCACACGTATAAATTATATATATATACTAGTGTTCTACCCGTTGAATCCAATGGTTATGTTTGAAATTGTTTTATGTATATGTGGTTTTAATGTATAACATATTTCTCTGTAAATCACTTTTAAATTTAGAAGCCAAACATTATTAAATTAAGTTTGAAAATATTATATTAGCAAGTGAATCAATTTTATTTTTTAAAATACAATCATAATATTGTGTTTGGTAAGTAATTAAAAGTAATTTTTGACAATTTGACGTAATTAAAAGTGATGACATTAATTTTGTAAATTTAAATTCATTTGATATTAAATCTTGCCAAAGTTAAACAGATATATAAATGCCCTAATGGTTACAGTTTTTTAAGACGATACTTGGTTACAACAAAAGTAAGTTTGAAATTCAATACAAATAAAGCCCTAAGCTTGTACAAAGTAATTACAACAATAACAAATAGAAGCTCTTGGCTCCAAGTCCTCCCAAGCTATGGTCTTGGCGGAGGCATATTATCAACACCTAAAAATGGTTTTCTACTTAGGGTGAGCTAAAACTCAGTAGAGATACTCTGACACAGTGTATGAATCTTAATAAAGTTATAAGGTGAATGCATATGCAATGCTCGTGTCAAAATGTTTTACATCTCTTTCTAAAAACCATGCAATGTCTGATTATATCACAATTCATGAAAACCACTTTCTTTGCAATAGAAAACAGGGCAGTGGATACAACTCTGGGAATCTCTAGGTACGTGTTTGCAAGTAGGCTATACAAGTACTACCAATTGCTATTTTTACTGATATTAACCGGAAGGCTCGGCACCTAGCCGTGCGGGTTTTTGGACTTTCACCAAGGATACACAGGCCAACAATAATACCACAATCACACCCCCTACCCAGATTCACCAGAGTATTCACCTATTTTTCTCAAAAAAAAAAAAAAATATACATTTCTAATGTGTTAAGTATGCACAATGCTCAATACAAATATATGAGAAATTAGTTTCAATTCTCTTAATTCTCATGCAATTTTTATAACAATCATAACTATCCTCCACCGATAGCCCAAAACAGATATCTCTAAACAGATAGATAATTTTCAATAAATATAAACTTTCTAAAATTTCAAGATGGGAGTGATAATGTATATTCAACTCCACCATCATCATTATCATCATCATCATTCCAATTTCATAAAACCCAACATAATTTTCATTTCCTCCTTACAAAATCAAGTATTCACATTTTAGGGAAAAATTCCCTTTTCTTTACAAATTAATTCCAAGGATAAAAATTCACCATTTTATCACAACTCAACCACATTTACAAACCCACAATCATTCCTAAGCAAACATTTTGAAAACCCCTCTTTTGATTTCAAAACCAAAACCTTGGATTTATCCAAAAATTCCAAATCACAATGTTGTTTAGAAAAGCAAATAACTAAGTTAAAAACCATACGAAAGTGTGGAGAAATCCCTACCTCAAAGCTAGAAGGTAAGGAAGAGAGTGGAGAAACCTCGACGAAGCCGAAAACCAGCTTTGTTCCAATTCAAACGAAGCTCAAGGTGAGCTCTACCTTTTTATCAAAGGGACTAGAGTGTAGAGATAAATAGATTGAGAGTATTTGGAGGTTGAAGATGAGTTTTAGAGAGAAAAGGTCTAGATTTAGGGTTTTTGAAATGTTTAGAGAGAGAGAAATATGAAAAAGTGACTAAAAAAGTAGCTATTACAAACTGATATACGCGCAGACCGTTCGAGCGACCAAAACACTGCTCGAGCAACCAGACACAATAAGTGAGTTCGCTCGAGCGAAAAAAGTGACTGCTCGAGCATAAAACACCGCCTTCTAGTACTTTTGCAGAGAGTTCGCAAACACCGCTCAAGCGCAAGAAGGACCGCTATAGCACAAGAAACACCACTCGAGCGGGAAAAAAAAACACCCTCCCAGTACTTTTGCAGACCTGCAAATATATTGGAAGTTCTCAAGGACCGCTCGAGTGACCAAAAGACTGCTCGAGCAAACTGACCAAAATCTGGGCAACAATTCTATTGAGAAACAAACTCCCGACCTATTCCAAATGCAACAAAGACATCCAAACAACCAAACTCAAGCAAGAATAAGATGAATAAGGATATGAACAACCAAATAATACAAGGAATCCCGGATCCAAAACAATAAACAGGTCGGGTCTAAACCAGAATCATTATACATTATGATATTTTGGAAAGTTCAACTATCATAATACAAGGAGTTTCTTGGAACAAATAATCAAAATCTTACCCCAAAAAAAAAAAAAAAAACCCAATAAGAAAATAAGAAATTTACATATAAGAACTGTCTACAAAACAAATTAGAGCATACTATTGATTAGAGCAAGATGAATAGATGCAAAGTTAATAGAGATGTAACAGTTTAATTAATTAATGTAAAAATGAAGAGAAGCAATAGTTTAATTAATGTAAAGATGAAAAATCACAAAACAATCACACATGGAGAATCAAATATTGCAAAAGAAGACAAAAAGAAAGAGAATAAATAAACTTGAGAGGTTGTTGGGAAAAGAAAATGACATAGAATAGAGAAAATAGAAGACATATTACTTGGAGAGGACAGATGGTAGATTGTTACATGGACACATGGCAACATTTGAAAGGCATAGCTTTCATTATATATCATGTGACACATGTATGAACATTCTTCACAAATATAACTCTTTACATTTATTACTTTATTTGTCTATTATTATCGCATATAACATTTGAATATATATGTGAAACTAGGTTGATATATCTATTATAGATTTAAATTAATTTGTTAATTTTATATTATTTTTCATTAAAAATGTCGTTAGGTGCTTGCAATTGATTTCTTTGTAGCAAATGTATATACGATTTTTATAATAAATAATAATTTGCAAATAATTGTTTTTATAATAAGGATATTCTTCTAGCATTTTTATGAAATTTCATTGAAGATTGTTTGCAATGGTACCAAGATGGTTGCCAAAACGCTATGTTACAACTTATATGGACTCTTCAAAATAAATCAAATATTTGTGTCGAACACTCAACACTCGGACAAGGGTATAGGTATGTATAGGATATGTGTCGGCTACTTTTTAACAGACACTTCTTATATAATTGTATATAACACTGTTATTATATGTACATATTGTTGAATAATTGCTATAAATGTCTTCTTATAGCGATCCCGGTTTCTCTTTTCTTTAATTGTTGTATCCGGACTTAGGTTCCGTGGAGTTGGTTGTTGTGTATACCTTGTTTACATCCTTTACTCTTTATATTTGAGTCTTGGGTTGTTTTGGGCAGGTGTGTTACGGGTTGGTTGAGCCTAAGTCTCAAATCTAGTTGCCTAGGTTTTTGGTGTTACGCTCGAGCGGGTAATTCTGCGCTCGAGCGGAGTTTGGCTTTTAGTTGTACGCTCGAGCGGAACTTCTTGCGCTCGAGCGAGTTTTACACACTCCCAGTATCTCGTGCCTTTGCAAAACTTCTGCAGGTGTGATTTCTACGCTCGAGTGGGTTTGTTGGCGTTTGAGCGGGTAGTGTTTTGTCTGCGTAAGTTCTGGAAGGGGGAAATCTATGCTCGAGCGGACTGGTTTTCGCGCTCGAGCGGATGTACTTTATTCTTGTGTCTTGGCGCTCGAGCGGACCTTCTTGCACTCAAGCGGACCGAGCTTTTTGTTCTTGACGCTCGAGCGGGAATGTCGTATAACAGAGAGCAGCTGGGCACTTTTGAATCACTTTCTACACTTCCTCTCTCTCTCTTACTTTCTAAAAAGATATTTTGAGAGCCTCTCTCTCTAGGAACTCCCTTCTCTCTAGGGTTTGATCTAGTAGGGGTTACTTCCTCACCTTTGGCCTTTACAAAAGTTGTGTTGATCGTCGAGGGCTACGTTTTGATCCAAGAATATTGAGTTTTGGAGCACTTCGAGTTTCGTCATCTTCTTTCCTTGAGCTACGAATTTGAGGTAGGGATTCCTACTCAAAACTATAGGTTCTAACCTAGATTTTTGAGCATTTTGTTAAATGGTTTGATTTAGGGATCTAGGGTTTGAAAATGTTGAAGGAGGGTTTTGTTATTTTGATTCTAAAGGTGTATTTTGGGTTTCAAAATAATGGTATTGTTGTTGGTTGTTGATATATAAACCATTGGGTCAATATTGGGGAATGGGGTAGAAAACCCTAATTTGTTGTATAAATTAATTGGTATAATTAATTTGGGAAAATTGTGGTTATATGGAATTGAGTTGGAAATAATGAAATTGGCTCATTATATAGTAGAGTGGTGGAGTTTAATTTATTAATCGCTCAATCTTGAAACATTGATATTTTATCTGTTGAAGCTTTTATTATCTGTTTAGAAATAATTGCTTGGGCTACCGGTGGAGGGTAGTTTTGATTGTTGTAGACAATGCATGATGATTAGGCAAACTAAAACTAATCAATTGGATATGTCATAGAGTATGACAGTTGATAGAATACATTAACGTTATGTATTGATTGATTGTGTATATGATGAAAATAATGAAATTGGCTCATTATATAGTAGAATGGTGGAGTTTGATTTATTG